CACAAGATTATCCCTGTGTCAGATCTGTGGTGCTATTAGCTCTTTAGAACACAATAATGAACTTGGAAATAAGAAAACAGGCCTCTGAGGAACAAAGAAAATTGTTCCTTAGCCCGTGCATAATCCTTCATAGGAGAAAAGTCTAATAACCAACATCCCTGCTCAGTCTGTGTTGTGCACAAAGTACATTGGTCAAGAAGCATTGTTATTGTTTCTAGATTTCTGAAAGTTCATGGGAGCTCAGGATTGTGTAGTGATTCCAAAGTTAAACGTATTTGGAAATAAAGCATAGAAGAGTATTGGGTTATGTTTCTTCTTCCATTTAGTCTAGGAGATTGAGAAGATGGGCTCTGTGTTTTAAAAAATTCCTATTAGGGGCTGGCACTGTGGCACAGTGGGTTAACGCCCTGACCTGCCGTGCCGACATCCCATATGGGTGCCGGTTTGAGTCCCAGCTGCTCCTCTTCCAATCTAGCTCTCTGCTATGGCCTGAGAAAGTAGTAGAAGATGGCCCAGGTCCTTGGGCCCCTGCACCCACATAGGAGACCCAGAAGAAACTCCTGGCTCCTGGCTTCAGATCAGCCCGGTTCCAACCATTGCAGCCATTTGGAAAGTGAACCAGTGGATGGAAGACCTCTCTCTCTCTCTGTCTCTCTGTAACTCTGCCTCTCAAATAAATAAACATGAAAGAAAAGAAAAGAAAAGAAAGAAAACAAAAAAACGATAGCTTGTAAGGATAACCTTTGGTTTATTAAGACTTTGGCCAACATTAGTTTACCTTCAAAAATGAACTTCCTTTCCTTTATTTGTTTTTTATTAATTTTTTCTTCTATTTAAAATTTTTTCTTTTTTTTTTTAATTTGAGAGAGAGAGCAAGCAAGCTCTTGGCCACTGGTTTATTCACCAAATGCCCACAACAGCCAAGGCTGGACCAAGGCTTGGCCAAGGCCAAAGCCAGGAGCTTAGAACTCAGTCCTGGGTGGCAGGACTTCAGGAGCTGGGCTGGATATTGAATCCAGGCACTCTGATGTGGACAATGGACATCTTTTTCCTTTTAAAGATTTAATAATTTATTTGAAAGTCTAAGCTACAGAGAGAGGGAGAGACAGAGATACATAGAGAGATCTTCCACCCATTGATTCACTCCCCAAGTGTCCACAATGGCCAGGGCTGGGCCAGGCCAAAGCCAGGAGCCAGGTGCTTCATCTAGGTTTCCCATGTGGGTGACAGGGGCTCAAGCTCTTGAACCATCTTCCACTGCTTTTCCCAGGCCATTGGCCTGGAACTGGATTGGAAGTGGAGTGGCCAAGACACTCCCATATGGGATGCCAGCACTATAGCTTTACCTGTTATGCCGCAGGGCCGGCCCCAGGGAACATGGACGTCTTCACCAGCATCAACCACTAGGCCATTTGACACCGCCTGTTGTCCCGTCCTTGCTCTGATGCAGAATAGCTTGTGTGAGCTTTTGGGGTTTTCAGCCTGAAGTCCCAGGTGCGGTACCCAGGGAAGAAGGGAGACAGAATGCTAGAGCAGAAGACGGAAGACTGCCTCTGATTTGTATTGAATTTCGAGGTGATTCTGTCAACAGCCATGCTGGTTATTGAAGGCAGAAAGCTGACAACATGTCAGCGTGCATCTGACCGGTGTCTCTGATGGGGGACGGGGGAGAGGCGGGAGTTTGGGATCCGTCTCATCAATCCCTTACTCATCCTCTATTTGAATAGACACAAGGGCAAACATACCCTTTGTTGTATCTGTCTTAAATTATATAGATTTTTTTCATATTCAATAAGCTATATTTTAAATTAAAATTGAAGCTTCTCCAAAGGCTGCCTTGCAATATTCCACGTACTCCAGCAGGTCCTGTCTGTCAACCACTGCTACGGGAAGTTAATCTAATCATCCGATTGCTTGATTGAATTATGGCTCTGTGTGTGTGTGTGTGTGTGCGCGCATCTGAGACAGTGAAGGCCGTGCTCCTTTACAAATGAATTGCATTAGAGGAGAATACAATAAAGAGTAAAGATGGATGGTCAGTTGAAATCATTGTAAAATTGAAATACGGAGTCCGGTTGAATAGAGCAGTGGTTCTCAGCCCAGCGGCTGCCTGCCATCACGTAGGTAACGTACAATAGCAATGACACAGCCTGAGTCCTGGCCGCCCCAGCCCGTCTCCACCCAGATTCTCATTTAGACAGGCTCCGAGTAGCAGCAGCTTTGCAATCTAACCCAGATGGCGTATCCTTGCTGGCCAAACCTGAAGCGTTTTCCAGCCTTCCTTGGTCCTGTTTGGTGTGAACAATCATGCACTTCATTGCAGGAGTAATCTTGTGCCTGATGACCAGTGTCTGCCCCAGACCTCGCTATGGGGATGTGGCCTGGAAGGGTGACTTTCTGAGATGTAAAAGTTTGGGTTCTGAAAGTCGCCTGACCCCAGAGGGTTCAGCAAAGGGAGTTGGGCATCGTGGTAGGGAGCAGAGAAAAAGCCAAGGTCCTCTTCTTACAAGATGAAGAAGCTGGGGCTTAGCATCTGCATTTGATAAAAAGCAATGGCCAGGATCAGAGCATAGTTCTTGGCCCTGCATTTCTCGCACCTAACCTGAGAAGGTTCTGTTTTAGGTAAGGTGAGAGAAAAACAAAAATAATCCACAGCGATGCAGTGGGGAAATCAGCAGTGTCCTTTAAAAGACTTGGGGCCATTTGGGAGTGAACCAGCAAATGAACAATCAGTCTTTCTCTCCCTCCCTCTCCCTCCCTCTCCCTCTCGCCCTCCTGTCTCCTTTTCTTCCTCCCCTTCTCCCTCTCCCTCCCTCCCTCTCTCCTTCCCTTCCTTTCTCTCCCTCTCTCTCCCTTCCTCTTTTTCTCTCCCTCCCTTTCTCTCTCTCCCTCTCTCCATTACTTTCTCTCTCTCTCCCTCTCTTTCCCTCTCTCTCCCTCCCCTCTCCCTCTCTCCCTCCCTTTCTCTCTCTCTCTCCCTCTCCCTCCTTCTTCCCTCTCCCTTCCTCTCTCTGGGTAATGCTGCCTTTTAAATAAATAAATAAACCTTTGAAAACATACACCGTGTGGCGATGGTAAAGGAGCATGTAATGAGATCTCTCCTAGTTGACGTTTTACTCCATCAGCTCCTTTGGGGGTGTTGTCAAAACCCTCTTCTCTCCTGGGGTAGAAGTGTGGACAGCACTCTGCATCCCACGCTGTGCCACAGCCTCCTGTGCTGTCGCCACAGAGGCTCAGGGCTGCAGTGCAGTGCAGGGGAGCAGTCTTGTGTATTTTATATGAAAAACGAAGCTTGCTTGCCTTTTTTTTTAACATTTGCTTATTTATTTGAAAGGTAGAGTTAGAGAGAGAGAGAGACCTAGAGAGGTCCTCCATCCACTGGTTCACTCTCTAAATGGCTGTGGTGGCCAGGTCTGTAACTTTAAGCTCTCCATTCACCAGCATTTCTGGAGCCCAAACTCCCAAACAGAGGGAGGGACTGATGGTGCTTTCACTGCTGGGAGACTCCCCAGGCATCCAAGATGCAGCAAAATCACCACAGGTGCTCCTGAGCGGACACCCGTCCAGGCAAGGGTGGCAGTGGTAGCTGTGTGGGGTGAGCCACCCTCTTAAGGGGTGATGACGTACTGGCCACGGAGAATGCAGTCCCAGGGGCCTCTCAGGATCCCTTTATAGCAGAGGAATCCAAATTAAGTAATTTGAACAGCAAGGCTGCACTTTAACCTTGACTTCCGGTACTTCCCTTTGAAGTGTCATTTCTGTGATGTGGCCAGCTGGATGAACTCCCAGGCTGCACACCTCCAGCCCTGGGGTCCTCCAAACCCCTCAGATACCTGGACACACGCCTCGATGTTGGGAGATTGTGTCCTGCAGGGGAAAGGGCTGGCACCCTATGGAAGTCATATTCTTCTCAGACAGTTCCCAAAGACTATCCTCATGGTGTCATGGAAGGTGGCTGTATTTAACCTTTCCTTGTCTTTGTCTGGGTTCCCCTTTGAAATGATTTTATGGAAGCATTTAAGCATTCAAAGTGGGGAGAGCAAGAGAATGTACAAGCGCTAAAAAATTTGGACAAATTAGTGGGGTCTAATGCACTTTGGCTTTTTTTAAAAAATGCATTTATTTGAAAGACAGAATTTCAGAGAGAGACAGAGACAGAGAGATCATCCGTCCTCTGGTTCAGTCCTCAAATGGTCACAGTGGCCCCAGGGCTGCGCCAGGCCAAAGCCAGGAGCAAAGAGATGCATCTGAGTCTCTCATGTGGGTGGCAGGGGCCCACATACTTGGACCATCCTTTGCTGCTTTCCCAGGTGCGTTATCAGGGAGCTGGTTTGGAAGCGGAGCAGCCAGGACTTGAACTGGCTCTCCTATGAGATGTTAGCATCGCAGGCAGAGACTTAACCTGCTGTTCCACAGCACTGGCTCCCACTTTGGCTTTTAAATTAATTCTTCCCATTTCACCTGTCCTGGAAGGTGAGGACACCAGCCTATCTGGGGCATGTTGTCCAAAATGGCTACTGTTAACTGGGCAGGCTTGCAGTGAACATTCATGGAGATCAAACCAGGAACACCTGTCTCAGTTTTTCTAGAATTTCTATATAAACCAGCATCTTTGTGGGATAAACAATATGTAATGTCTTTGCCATTTTAACAATTTAATTCATATTTGCATTATTTCTGATGCTATACAGTGAGCTTTCTGAAGTGCTCTCTCTCATTGTGGTATATGCACCAGCATTGCACAGTGTATGCATTCTGGCAACTAAGTTTTTTTTTTAAGTAAGTCTATGGGATTCTTCCAGATTATTGGCCCAAAATCCCTATGCAGAGATGTATCCATGTACTGAATGCAAACAAGCAACAAATAAGTGAGGAGAGAAAACCTGTACTTTATTGCAGCTGCTCTTAGTTTGGGATGCAGATCTAAAAACAAAGTGCTACTTTCTCAAGCTGTATTTTCTTCTTGTAATTTGATTTTTTCCCCTCTACTATTTTATTAGGTGCAGAGGGAGCTTGCAGCTGTTATTGCTTTGAAAGCAAGGAAGTCCGGTGAGTAGTCTCTGCAGGGGCTGCCGGGGGAGTCGAGCGCTTTGGGGACCGTTCACAGCAGAGCGTGTCTCTGGAAGCCTCCGTGTGGGACGCAGAGAATGTCACTGCTTTCAAGATGATTTATTCCACCATCAGAATAGCGCAGGATGCTGTATAGATGGTTCTTATACTTTCACTACCTGTGCTCCAGCTTATTTCCAATTCCAAGGAAAAGCGAGATTTACAAATATGTTTGCCATCCACTGCTCCCGTGAGAAGGGTGTAAGTGCACCTTGCATGCCATATCATACTAACAAAGAAGACTGCATTCCATGGAGGGCGGTCTTTGTGTAAGGATGCTTAAAAAAAAAATCCAAGTTGCTTAATGACATGGCAAGGCCAGTATTCTTCCTGGGACTGGCTGCGTGGATCTGAGTCCTGTACCTGTGGGGTATCATCTGTGGCAGTGACGTGTGGAAAGGAAGTGGCAGCTTGCAGATACCTTGTAAGGGAAAAGAAAAAGCACTCTGCATGTCAGAAGGAGGCGTCCTGCAGCGTTCCCGTTCAGAGGGAGGAGGCCTGTGCTGAATGGAATGGGAATCAGTAGGAAAGTACTTTCTGGATCATGGTGAACTGGACGGGGACTTTTCAGGCAGAAAGACTATGTCAGCCTCAAAGCGAGGGCGGATTTTGAAGCAGTCAATGGCACGGGAAGGACTCACGCTTCACAGCTTTCCTTTTCCAGTAGCAATCTACGTGCTGGCTCGTCTCCCGGTTGGGTTTTTGAGTGTGAATTCCCTCGTTACATTCCTGTCACTTCCCGTGTGGGTTTGGCCGATATAGAGGACGCAGACTGGGCGTCACGAAGGTGGTGGAGAAGCTGAAGGGACAGCGTCTGAGCCGAGGTGCATTGCAGGAGTTCGTAGAGGGGAGGCCCCCGCAGGGGACGGGCAGCAGCGTGGAGCTGTTGGACAGACAGCTGAGAAATCAGTCGGGCTGAAGGGGATCTTGGTAACAGGGACGGGATTTGTCTGCACATCCTGGACGAGCTGGGATGGCAGTGCCTGGGAGGGTGGGATTTGTTTTCCTGATGTTTCAGAATAAGATAAGGAAGTAATAATAATAATCATAAAGTAGCAAGTGTCACTGCCAAAGAATGACCGAGGAAATCCAGCACGAGGCTGGGGTGGGGAGCGCCTGGTTTTCCCTGAGTGGGACAGGACGGCTGTGTGTCCGAGCACGCCTGAGCCTAAGTGCAAAGTCAGGGCAGAAGGGAGCCCCCGAGGGGTGTGCCAGGCAGGTGTGGTCAGCAGAGGCATGCCCAGTGTGGTTGAGTGGCAGCAAGGAGGCGGGGGGACAGAGTAGGGACAGGTGATCAAGGCCAAGAGAGACTGTGACATCAGGCTGGGTGGTTTGAACTTTCTGGAGGTGAAGGGAAATGAAGAGGAGCAGGCAGAGACCCACACATGCTAGATGGTGGGAGTGAAGATTGCGGTGCGGGCTCCTCAGGTCTTGATGTCACCGGATGAGGTTAGCACGTCCGTTTTCCTTCCTTAAGCCATCTCTGCAGCTCGGAATGCGATTGTCATTTTGGGAACTCCTCAAACACACTAGCTACGGGGATGTGGTTTTTCAGGAGAGCAGTTGTTCAGTGTGCACAGTGTTCACAGCTCTGTGAGCCAGCCCTTGCACGGCTGGGGCGTAGCTGTGGGACCCAACTGGAGGTGCACGTGAGGCTTGTGGTGGAAGGATGTGTGTGGTTCTGTTGAAAACAGCATGGAAGCAAGAAACTGGCACTTAAGTGGCTCTCATAGGGAACTGGTATCATTGGTGGATGGCCGTAATGGAGTGTCAATCAGCCTTTGAAAAGATTTTTTAAAGAATTAATATGCAGATGGTGAAATGATCAGTGAAAGAAATTGTATATAATAACATACTATTTCTGTAATGAAAATAGCTTCATTTATTCTTGCTATCTTAGTTGAGCATTCTCACTGAAAGAACTTTTATAAGACACGAACGTATGAAGAAGAAACTGAAAAATCACACGTCATCTCACCAACACAGACAACCACTGACCCCCTTTGGTTGTATCTCTTTCCAGATACCTTTCCTTATTAATATGCACATATTGCTGTTGCTATCTATTAATATTCAGCTTTGTTAAGAGTGAGATCATCTTAGACACACACCTTGATTTTGAGATCATTGCCCATTCACATACTGTTGTAAGAGACAGTGCAGACAGTCTGAGTACCCTGTACCTGGGCTGCTCGCTGGTGGCATCTTGTACAACCATGGGGCAGCACCACAGCCCATATGGCAACATGGGAGCAGGGTGTTTCCAGCTCCCTGTCCTGCCTCATGTTACTCATTTGCAGCTACACTGGCTTCCTTTCTTTTAAAGATGCATTTTTTTACTTGAAAGACAAAGTTACAGAGAGGCAGAGGCAGAGAGAGGGAGAGGGAGAGGTCTTCCATCCACTGGTTCACTCCCCAAATGGCCAGCAACCCAAACTTGACAGGTACTTTGGCTACAGTCAGTGGCCCTACACAGACACACCGCTGTCACTGGAAGTCCCTTGGTCACATTAGGGTTCCCTCCCGCTTCTGTACGTCCTGTGGGTGTGGACAAATGTGCAAAGACTCATAGCCACATTACAGCCTCGCGCAGAGTAGGGTCTAACAATCCATCCTTCCCCCGCTCCAAACCCTGGTCTTTTTACTCTCTCTCTAATTTACCTTAAACTTGAATGGCTAGAATTACATAGTAGCTTTTAAGACTGAATTATTTCACTATTTATCGAACATATGCCTTTAAGTCTTCCATTTCTTCCTTTTTTTTTTTTTTCATGGCTTCATAGTTTATTTCTCTTTAGAGCTGGGTGAGATTCTGTTGTCTGGATGTACTGTGGTTTATTGACCTATTCATCTACTAAAGGACATCCTCATTGCTTTCAACTTTTAATTTTATTTATTTATTTTCATTTTTTTATTTGAGAGAGAGAGAAATACGGAGAGAGAGATTCTGTCTGCTGATTCATTCCCCAAAACGTCCACGACAGCCAGGGGTAGGCCAGGCTAAAACAAGGAGCTCAGAACTCAAACCAGATCTCCCCCATGGGTGCCAGGAACCAAGCACTTGAGCCATCACCTGCTTTAACCCAGGGTATGTGTTAACAAGAAGCTGGATCTGAAGTGGAGTAGATTTTTTTTTTTTTTTAAAGATTTATTTATTTACAGCTGGCACCGTGGCTCACTAGGCTAATCCTCCGCCTGCGGCGCCGGCACTCTGGGTTCTAGTCCCAAATGGGGCGCTGGTTCTGTCCTGGTTGCTCCTCTTCCAGTCCTGCTCTCTGCTATGGCCTGGTAAGGCGGTGGAGGATGGCCCAAGTCCTTGGGCCCTGCACCCGCATGGGAGACCAGGAGGAAGCACCTGCCTCCTGGCTTCGGATCGGCGCAGCACGCCAGCCACAGCGCGCCAGCCGTAGCAGCCATTTGTGGGGGTGAACCAACGGAAGGAAGACCTTTCTCTCTGTCTGTCTCTCTCTCTCAATGTCTAACTCTGCCTGTCAAAAAAAAAAAAAAGATTTATTTATTTACTTGAAAGAGTTACACAGAAAGAGGAGGGACAGAGAGAGAGAGGTCTTCCATCCGATGGTTCACTCCCCAATTGGCCGCAACAGCTGGAGCTGCAACAGTCCAAAGCTGGGAGCCAGGAGCTTCTTCTGTGTCTCCCACGTGGGTGCAGGGGCCCAAGAACTTGGGCCATCTTCCACTTCTTTCCCAGGCCATAGCAGAAAGCTGGGTCAGAAGTGGAGCAGCCAGGATTTGAACCAGCGCCCATAGGGGATGCCGGCACTGCAGGCAGCAGCTTTATTCTCTGTGCCACAGCTCCAGCCACGGAGTAGGTGTATTCTAACCAGGCACAGCAATATGAATTGTGGGTGACCTAAGTGGTTAAGTTAACCAACATGCCACAAGCCCATACTATGCTTTGAAGTTTTAACAGTTACACAGAAGGTTACTATAAACATCGATATGCAGATTTTTATGTGAATAGATGTTTTCAGTTCGTTGAGGTAAATACCAAGGAATGTGATTATAGGATTATGTGATAGGAGTATGTTAAATCTTGTTAGAAACTGCCAAACTGTCTTCCAGCGTAGCTGCGCTGTTCTATATCCCCACCAGCAATGAATGCGAGTGCCCTTCCTCCACGTCCTCCCCGGTGTGTGTTGGTGTCCTTGCTCTGGATTTTACAAACTCTGACAGGTTTGCAGTGACAGCTCGTTGTGATTGGCAGCTCTCTAATGACCCAGGACGCTCAGTGAGGCATCTCTTGAGATCTTTGGTGCATTTGTTAATTGGCTTGTTCATTTTCTCATTGTTGAGTTTTGAGAGTTTGTTGTGTATTTTGACTAACAGTCCTTTATCTGACAGGTCTTCTGCAAATATTTCCTCCCGGCCTGTGGCTTGTTTTCTCATTCTGTTAAAAGTGCCTTTATAAATAGAGTGCCTATTATAAATAGAGTTTTTGTTTTAGTAAAAACTGTTTACCAGTTACTTCTCTCATGAGTCACGCCTTTGGTGCTGTCCCTAAAAGTCATTACTGCATCCAAGGTCATCCAAGTTTTCTCCTATGTTATCATCTGAGAGTTTTATAGTTTTGTGCTTTGTCTTCAGGTCTGTGGTCCATTGAAGTTCATTGTTACGAAGGGTGTACAGCCCGTGTCTAGATTCATCACTTTGCATGGGGGTGTCCAGTTCTTTCTGCACCATTTGTGAAAAGGACACTCTTTCTCCCTTGCATTGGCCTTGGCTCTTTCCCTTTTCCCTTTCCCCTTTCCTTTCCCCTTTCCCCTTTCCCCTTTCCCCTTTCCTTTCCCCTTTCCTTTCCCCTTTCCTTTCCATTTGTTTATTTCAAAGAGTTACAGAGAAGGGCCAGTGCTGTGGCACAGAGGGTGGCCTGAAGCGCCAGCATCCCATATGGGTGCCGGTTCTAGTCCCGGCTGCTCCTC